TTGTTTTTGGTGGGTTTTGGTTTTTTGTTTTTGGTTGGTTTTTTTTTTTTTGCTGGTCCTCTAGAACAATGGCCTGCAAAGTGGGGTGTATGCAAGACAATTCCTTGAGGTGCGAGAACAACTTCAGTAGTACATGTATATATCTTATAAATAATAAATATACATATATTGCGAGTACGTGCTCAAAATTTTTTACTTATGGGTTGAATAGTCACAATAGTTTGGAGACCGCTGCTCTAGAATAGTCCTGTTCTGTTTAGGGGCCGCATCCTGCATCATTAACTGTAGCAGTACAGTGCTTTGGAGGAATAGTCTCCCTTTTGGGGCAGATTCACACTGGTGTGTTAATGCTGAATAAGGGAATGCTTTCCTCCTTTTAGTTTAACCCATAACTGCAAACAGACGAGGGCTGGGTTTTAATTAAGCTCTGTGGTTTGTACTACATAGCAAGATCTGTGTAGTTGTATTAATTTTGGTATCTTTGCAAAATTCTAACCCAGGCAGTAACTCTCTGCTTTTTGAGCCTCTGAGCTTTGGCCCAAGGGCTTCCCCTGTGCATGATGCAGGGCAGGGATCCCTTGGTCTTTCCCCTGCTCCGTGCACGTCTGTCGTAAGAGATTTCTGCTGCAAAGGAGTCGGTCTGTAGCTACTGCTAATAAATTCGTTCCTGTGGACCCCTCGCTCAGATCAACACTGATACCGTGCTCATTTCATGACCCCAGCCTGTATAAGAGTATTGTGTATGTGAACCCTGGTAGATAACTCTACCTATTAAAAAAAAAAAAAAAGAAAAAAAGAAACAAAAAAGAAAGGAAAAAAGTAATCTTTCATGTATTTTGAAAAGATTGAATAGCTATTGTCTTGAAGTTACAGTTATAACTATAATCAATCCCGTGCCTTAACAAATGCCATGGCAGTTACCAAGAGCCTGCAGAGTCTGGTCTCCTGATGTCTTGGCTTCTCTGCCAATATATGATTTCACAAGTTCAGCCTACAAAAGCCTGGAAGGATCTGCTTTTCAATCCCTTCTGTTGTCTGAGAGAGCTGGAAAGTAGGAGCTGAGATCCCCTTGTTCTTAAAGAAATGAGAAGCTTAATTTTAACTTTTGTTCCTGCCAGCAAGGTTTTAACTTGAGTGCTAAAGTCATGTCCCTTTGACAGCTTAAAGGGAGGCATGCTGCGGTAAAGTAAGCTTCTAGCTCCCTGTGCTTGATTCTGCTGCATCCTCTGTCTCCTCTTTTTTCATTGGCGTCACTGGGAACTGTGGTTGTGGAGAAAATGTGGAACAAGTACTGTGATTTGGAAGAGTTTCTTCTCCCATTTTGACTCTCTGTACATATCAGTCCTTGTCCTCTGAAGCCCAGCAAAATGCATGCGGCTAAATCTTCTTAACCAGCCACTGAAATGCAGCACTTTTGTCTGAGACAGCTGGCGGAGTGTTATCACTCAGCTGTGTACAATTGCATGCCTCAGATTGCTTTCCAGCTTTGTTACTGGTGTTGTCCAAAAAAACTCAGATTTACTTCATATTTTTGCACGGTGTAATACTCACATATGATGTCGTTCTTGGCTGGCCAACAGAAGGGAGAATAATGTTACGTTGGGTTGTTATGTGGAAAGCTTTATAAAAGTTTGTAATATACTGGTTTGCTTGCAAGTTATAGTGTATGGCTTGTGTTGAGATGGTTGTTTTCAGGTCCCTAAAAACGAATGTGAAATGAACCCTTAAAGAGGCCTTTTGTTTGAGATCACAAAAGTTTATATTGTAAAGCAACCACAATTCTATGATGTGACTTTCCCTTCAAATGGACAAACAGTAACTGTTGTCATACAGTAATAAATCAGAGCAGGAAGCAAAGCAAAACCATAAGCTTCTTTCAGCAATTTTAATCAATTGTCCTCGATGAATTTTCCCTCTGTGGCATACCATAATGGTTCAGAAATGCAAACTGGAAAATAGTGGCTCAATGATTCTCTTCTATAACAAATACTGAGAAGTTAAAGGAGATTTTTGTTTGCTCTGTTACTCTGCTGTTTTGGAAACAGAATAGATTCTGGTAGTTTAAAGGAGGAATAAAATGTAAAACCATCATACAGAGGATGAAAATCAATATCCATCAGGTTTGAAGACTAGCTAGGTCAAATCATAAGGTCTTCCAGCACTTGCTTTCTGTTTGGAATCAGGTATGCACATTTGAACGGGGAGGGATGTGTGTGCAAAGCTTTGTTATGCAGCTTAGAGTCGCTTCTAGAAAGCGCTGCAGAAGCTGAGTGGCCCCAAAGGCATGCAACCTGCACGAGCAGCATGCAGCTACGGACAGAAGAGCAGCAGACTCGCAATTCCCTCTGCACCCCACACCTCCCGTGGAAGGCTGGTGAGCTGTTGCAGTCCGAAGCACGTGCCTGCACCTCTTGGCAGAGGCTTAGCCGCGTGGCTAATGGGCTGCGGCACACGTGGCTGGTGGCTGACCGGGTATATCGTCTCTCGGTCTACAGTTATCGTTCATTTCAGGATGAACGTTTAGGTTGTAATTCATTTGAGGAGGAATAATTTTCAACTATGTTAAGGCACACGGTGAGGGGCACCTTCCCTCCAGTCTGGGAGGTTTGGGTTGCCATATGTGCCAGTGCCAATGAGTATCTTGAGGGTTTATCTTTTGAGGGACTGGCTGGAGAAAACCACACTGCAAATGATGTTGAGGCTGGGGGAAAGCGGGGGACTGAAAACAGGCTACCTGGAGCACCACGATGAAATGACATCTTTTTCTCTCTTGGCAAGAGATGAGACAAAAAACCCCAAGTCAGTAATTAAGAAAAAACACCAGATATCCAGTCTCTGAGACACTTCCATTCCTGGCACAGGACAGTGTTTTTCAGGTTGTATTTTTCTTGTGTTTGTAAGATGACATGGAGCTTTTGAAGTGCTTTAATGAAATGCAGGGCAAAGGGAGAAATTGAGTCTATTTTCTTTGCACTCAAGTGAGATCTTAAATTTTCACTCTTGCCGATTAGAAGGTCAAGGACCTGAACTTCATAACATGCCAAGAGATGGAAATCAGTCTGGAGTTTTCTTACAGTGTTGTGTGAGCTGGAAGTTTTACAGATATTTCTCTATGTCTTCAAGAACTTCATACAAGAGTTGTTTTCTTTTGTGGTGTAGGGAGCATAAAACATACTGCTGTGCTATAACCAGATATACTTACCCATATCCTACCCTATCCAAGCAAAACTATGGCACTAGATATATTTTGAGAAACTTGCCCTACTACAAATCCCTCAGGAGATTTTTAGGCTATACGAATTAGTGAGAATTAAATACCATATAAAATTCAAATGGAGATCCTTTTGCCTTGCTAGCCACAGCTGGTGTTTAGTACCGTGTCAATGTATATATGTTATAGTTATTCTGGTTGACTCCCTTTGAAAGTTGGGAATTTTAAATGTCATGTTCTTTCGAGACCAGGGACTGGGGGGCCGGTCAGAAGGGGCCTTCATTCCTCTGATGTTAACGCTATCTCAAGCGTTGCCTTTGGGCAAGGCTGATGTCACTTGTCTAACCTCATCTCATTTTATTCCCTCAGCTGAACTTTGACTTGGATCGTGGCGTGTTCCCTGTGGTCATCCGAGCGGTGGTGGACGAAGGGGATGGTAAGCGTGGCGGTGTGCTCTCTTGGTCATCTTCTAGCTCTCTTTGAGGTTGTGTGACTCCTTCAGGGCAGGTCTTCTGCAATGAGGAAAACATTTTACTTGTAGCAAAGGCTCAGGGAGCCTTTCCAGAATGGAAATGCCACCAATGCCAGGCACAAATTGGAGCAAATTACTTCCTTTCTCTTTGGGTTTCATATTTGCAGTTTGTAAGGCAAGGAGGGAGTTGGTCTTTTCCCTGTCTTTGAGGGGTAAGTTGTCTTCATAAAAGCCATAGCTAATTGTAGGGCGGGCCTTCCTCTAGGAATGATCAGAGAAAAATAAATGGCTTTAAAATGCTCAGGCCACTGTTCAACCAAATACAGCTTCATTCAGCAATTTAAAATTCTTCTGCTTTTTCTGAAAAGTGCTGAATGGTTAGGATAAAAGAGCATAACCTTTGATGAGAAATAATCTTGTTGATTATTTTTAAAACATGTTGCCATTTCGGAGAGGGAAGTCCAGTAAATGTTTAAGTTGTTACTCACCTGTCGTGGGGTCTGGCAGCTGAGCACCACGCAGCCGCTCGTTCACTCCCCCCCATCGGGATGGTGGAGAGAATTGGAAAAGTTAAAGTGAGAAAACTCGTGGGTTGAGATAAAGACAGTTTAATAGGGAAAGCAAAAGCCGCGCGCACAAGCAAAACAAAGCAAGGAATTCATTCACCACTTCCCATGGGCAGGCAGGTGTTCAGCCGCAGGGCTCGGTCACGTGTAACAGTTACTTGGGAAGACAAACCCCATCGCTCTGAACGCTGCTGCCGCCCCCCCCCCCCTTCCCCCAAGCTCCTTATAAACTGAGCATGACGTCATATGGTATGGAATATCCCTTTGGTCAGTTTGGGTCATCTGTCCTGTCTGCGTCTCCTGCCAACTCCTTGTGCACCCCCAGCCATCCCGCTGGCAGGGCAGTGCAAGAAGCAGAAAAGGCCTTGGCCCCGCGTAAACACTGCTCAACAACAGGTCCATAGAACAAAAACATCTCTATATTCTCAATGCTGTCTCCAGCGCAAATCCAAAACATATCCCCACACTAGCTACTATGAAGAAAATCAACCCTCTCAGCTGAAACCAGGATACACCTCACAGTATTTTCCTTAGGTGGGCGTGTACTTTTGAGTTCCGTGTATCAGCAATGAAAAGGGCACAGGAAGTCACATTTTCTCTAAAATTGGGGGCTGTTGTGGTCAGCGAGACAAGCGTTTCACTTCTGCATTCTGGAATGTTTTGTACAAAATTTAAGAATAATTGGAAAGGAAAAAAAATGCATTGTTGATTGCATTGTTTAGTGCAGTCACTTGCTCGGTTTCTTATGTTGTGGATGTGAAAGTGCCCAGAAACTCATTGCATTATTTCACAGTCCTCCAAGCAGAGTGAAATAGAACTGGATGAACCAATTTAAAGTGTGACTAACAAAGCACTGTACAACATAAAGGAAATTACTTCTAAAGTGCATCTATTTTTAGTGATTTCAGGCACTGTTAGTAAAATTGACACGTATGTATATTTCTTGACCATAAATATAAAACATCTTCCTCTGTTTATAGGGCTTTTGGCAAGGTATTTGTACTTTCTAACATTGCACATGCCTAGAAGGACCAAAAATAGAACAGGAGGCAGCATGGGAAGCATACATTTATGCACATACCATGCCCAGTCTTAGCCAATAATGTACAGTCATATTTTTTAATAACCTGGAAAGGCAATTGCTTTTAAATCCTCCCCTGGAAAGAATATCAGCACAAAAAAATGTGATACTTGAGCGAGGTTTGAGGAAATTGTTGTGTATTTTGGTTCTTTTTTAACTGATGGGACTGGAAGGACCTGGCTGCGTGTGATTGGAGCACCTGGAGAATTCCAGCTAGCCCATAACTGCTTCTGTTAAACAGAACTGAATGGCAAATTAAATAGCAGTCAGCAAGGTGTTGGTTTGGAATGAATTCTGCCAGGAGATGTTTGCATGCCCTGAAGAATGTGAGCTTGCAACGTTAGCCCTCTCCCATTCCTGCCAGCGGGATTGCTCTCGGGGAAAGGCACAGAAACCCTTCGGGGCGGGAAGGTGTCGCACAGAACAGGTCCCACGACTCCAGCCACACTGCTTGATTGCCACAAAGCATGTGAAGCGAAGCAGTACCTGTTATCTCTTATTTGGCCGCTCACACTGTGGGGAGGGACCTGAATTTCATTTACTGAGTGAGCTAGAACAGCCTTGCTCTTGGCTGGCAGTGGGGGAGCAAGCAGATGAATTCCCAGTTTTAGCCCTCTTTTCCGCATGCCGTTGTGTTCCTGACTGCACCCAAATCGCCGTGGCCCGATCTCAGTTACCCAGCAAATCTGCAGGGATGGACTCTCTTCTCCCACATGCTGCTGTTTCCAAACACGATCTTTGTGCTGCAATCCGGTGAATGGTTCTTCTTGTTGCCTCTGCTGTTCTGGGGGCCCAAAGGAAGCTGTTGAGCTCCTCTCCCTTTTAGACAACATAGGAGTTTGCTTCCTTCAGCTGTTAACTTTCTGCCAGCTCTTCTGCATGTGCTGAGCGTAGCCCGTACTCTTCGGTCCAGGCAGGGCGAGGTGGTTACACGCCTTCCCTTCCCGCAGTGACTCCTCCACAACCTCTGTCTCTCGTTTCCATCTGATGGATCTGACCATAATTAAGCAAAAGGGTCCAAACAGTTGGAGCTGAACAGAACCTTAGGGTCTTAAATGAGAGAGGCTGGGGTTGTAGCTCGGCTTCCTCTATGCTGTATTTGCTGAGGGAGCCATGAATGCAGTACAGAAACCTCTGACAGCCCCTTCTCAGTGCTATTGGATTAAGAGGGAGGCCTTGAGTTTTGAAGAGGGAAGATGTGATGTTTGTCTTTGGGAAAAAAAAAAAAAAATCAGATAACTAGACAGAGATGTTTCAGTGTCTAAAATTGGCATGAGAAATAAATGTTTTATAAGCATGTCGGATTAGAGTGAAATAAAGTGATAAGTACCAGGGCTGGAAGTGCAGCCAATTGCTGTTAAACCAGATGGATTTATTAATCTCTGTGATAAAGTCAGGTAATTAAACCCAGGAATTTTAGGGGAGAGCAGAATCCCACTGAGTGCTTTGTTTTACTTTCCCTTTCCAACCTCTGAAAACAAAATGGGATAGTTTGGAGCACCCAAGATAATGAAGGCATGTCTGTGTGGGGCCCACCACAGAGCCCAGCAGGGTTTTGTTCTTGCTCTGCAAGAGTGTGAGGTGAGCCAACCTGAGGACAAGGTAAGAAAAGTTTTAAATTGCAAGAGGAGATGAAAATACAACAGGTGATGGTTTAGAAATTGTAAACAGACTAAAATTCAGCTCGTGGTAGTTTTATGCTCGTGCTGCTTTCAAGGTTTAACTGAGACTGCTCTTTCTCTTTTTGCAGTGGTGGTTGAAGTGACGGGTCATGCCCACGTTCTTCTGGCTGCATTTGAAAAGGTAAATCAGTTTGTTTTGTTTTGTTTTTTTTTTCCCCTCTGTCCCTATCATTGTATATGTAAACATTTCCATGGGTCATTAGTTTGTATGTGTATAACACTTAGTACAGTGGAGTCCTGGCCCGTGACTGGGGTTCCTGAGTGCTATGTAGTACAAATAATTGCTTGCAGCACCTCCTGTGCAGCCTGTAATTATCATTTGCACCTGAGCTGGTCACTCAGCTAATTGTGGCTGGTGTTTCCTGTGTGTGGGGAGAGGGTGTGCCTCAGTGTCTGTGATGTTTGAGAGTGGTAGGTGTTGACCATGGCTGCTACCGCGCAGTTTTCCAGGGCCTGGTGATCTCTTTGCAGAACCGGATCTGCTGTGTCCAGACCCTGTTGCACCATTGTTTGACCTTAGTTTACACGTAGGACCAAGCCCTTTTAAAGAATTAGGATACATCCTGCATAAAGACTTTGAGTTCCACTACTTTTCGGTGGCATGTTTGATGTAGCTGACCGCTGCCTACGTGGTAAGGCTAAGCCAAGCTATATGCCCAAGCCTTGATAACAAAATCTCTTTCCGTGATAACTGGACCCTGAAAACAGTTGCAAGATCTGTAACAGCATCATGTTGTGTCTGGTTGTGGTAATACTGCAGACAGATACCCTGGACAAGTGATATTTGTAGTGACATGCTAATATGAGGCAAGAGATGCTGGAGCAGAGCTGGGCATGTAGAGGGGAGCAGCATCAATGCTGTACTGTTAGAAATTCCCTACTTCCAGGCTGGCATGTGGCTGACTTCTGTCTCTCAGTCTGCTCGGTTCCTGCCATGTCCCTTAAGCAAGTTGACAGTCTTACTCTGTTCCTCCTAGGTGGATAATGTGGATGGTGACAAGCAGAGTCAGAGGGCATGGGAAGCACAGTCAGTCCTAAGGAAGGACTGTGGCTGGAAGATGATCTAAGTATTCTAGGTTGCTTTTTTGTTGGACTTAGCATGTGGAGAAAATGAGTTTTCCTGTGTTAGAAGGGCTGTTCTGAGCACTAGGTCTGTAGGTAGTTCTACTCCTGGCAGTTAGAGGTCTGTCAGAAATGAGATGGGCAGCTGCAGCACCCTGGGACCAGGGCAGGGATGTTATTCTTCTAGTTTCCTCGTCCGGCTGATCTGGAAAAACAAAACACACTGGAATTCCTCAGTCATCATTCAGCAGCACCTGGGAGAGGCCGGTGTGGGCAGTGGGTCCCTGGGGAAGTGGGTCCTTGTAGTGTTTGGAGCCCGTCTGTCATCTTGGTGGGAAAGCACAGGAGGTGGAGACCCCCTAGCCTTGCAAAGTGATTGTTCAGACACTTCTGAGGAGAGAAAAACAGATGAAACCACCAGCTTCCTGCATGTTACAGCCTGATTTTGAAGTATTCTATGCATGTTTGCCTTCCTCTCTGCAAGACTCACCTGTGCTGCACTGGCTATTGCCTTCGCAGCTTTTTGGTTGTGGCTAGGTTCTGACTAGGCTTTGGATCTGATGATGTGAGTATGATTTTTACTTACAAAGGAGTGCGTCTACTTGCTGTTTTCCAGGTATCCAAACATAGCGCTGTTGCAGTAAGCCTAGCCTCTGTGGTCAGAGAGTGGAACTCTTGGACCTGGATTTGTCCCAGCTTCCCGTTCTAGCATCCCGTGGCCAGCACTTGATAATAGCACCTTATAGAAAGTAGGAAAATACGGACGTATTGGGAATGTATTAGCATGAGGGCAGAAGTGAAGCTTTGGAAATTTCTGTCTCATGAGATTGGAAAGTGGCTTCAACCGCTCCAGGTTTGGAAGCGGGATTTCAAGGATTATAGGTTAATTCCACATGCTGTACAGAACCTCTGAGCTCTCTGGATGCACAGAGCTGATGGCAACAGCCCCGCTAATGCTCAGGGAGCTGGGCGAGGTACGCAGCAAAACTGGGAACCAACTAAAGCTGGTCAGGCCATTCCATCAATGCTGGATTATGTCCTGTGTCCAGGTCTGAGCTCAAGGATTGAAAGTGCTTCCCTTCTTTTTCTAGTCTGTGTGTGCTGTGAGGGGGAGATGCTATCTGGCAGGGCCACTTCTTCTCATCTTCCACTGAATGCTTAAAACAAGATCAAAATCTTTCTTTTAATAAAAAGTCAGAGGGCAAAGTGCTTGTTGAGTTCTTTCTCCTCCCTGTTTGATTAAAATGTATTCCCCATCCTTAGAGTAATTGCAGCTTTTGAAGTATAGGCCCGTAAATCCAGAGGAGGTCCTTGCTAATAAGCACTGATGATGATCACCAGAGCATGCTCAGAGGACAGGCAGACTGGCAGGGCTTGGTAACTTGCTATTTATACGTATCTTTAAGATCAGAATAGTAACCTTGATGCTATGCGTAATCTGGCCTTGCAGCTTTTCCAAAGGCAGAAACTTGGCACTTTGTGTTCGCCTGGAAAACAGGACTGTTTTGTCTTTTGGTGCAATGTTGTTGTCCCTTCCTTCTGAAACTCCTTCAGCAAACAGATGCACATCTGCAACTGTGCACAGCAGTAGGGCCTGCTGGAGTTTCACCTAGGTCTCCTTTCTGCTCTCTAGACTGCGCAGGAGAGTTGGTTTCTTTCAGTTTAGTTTAAACCCTTGTGGATGATGGAGAAAATAGAAACAGCACGCTATTCCTATCACTAGTTCTGACGCCAGGTATATACAGAATTGTTCCAGCCGTGCCTGCTGGCACCAAGCAAATGAAAGGCTTGAGGCTGTCACTGTGGCTCTGAAGATGGCAACGCAGAGCACGCGTGACTAGTTTCTGACTCCATCCAGTGGACAAGCCTTGTTGTCAGCCTCATGCCAGCCCCCTGCTCTCTCTGGGCTCTGGCCTCACGAGTGGCTCTGTAACTGGATGGTATTTAGAGTGTTAACAGATTATTCCCACCAAGTCTTGCTGGAGTTGCTGAAGAAGTGTTTGCACCCAGTTGGACTGCTTGCAGCCTGAAAGCATCCAGCATGCCAGTGGATTTTTGTGTGTGCTCTGACCCAATTCAGCCAGGTTCAACTTGAGCCAGGTTCAACCAGATCTGCACTGGAGCAGACGAGGAGCACTCCGATACCCTGTTCCACTAACTCTGCTGGGAATGATTGTCATTCGGGCTGTCCCAGTTAAACATACGCCACCCTCCCCTTAGCTAGCAGACACCAACTCATGATCATGAGTCTGTTTTAATTTGTACACTTCAGCTATTTAATCCATTTCCTTTTTTTTTTTCCTGCTAGCACGTTGATGGCAGTTTTTCCGTGAAGCCATTAAAACAGAAGCAGATCGTAAGTACTTGTTTCCTGTCTACTGCTTGATTAAAGACATTTGTTGGTGTCCCACAGGTGCCCGATTGTACCCAGTGGGAAGCTTCGGTGTTAGTTCACTGAGAGCCTGAGATCTCACCTCGTTAGCTCAGATGTCACAAGCAAAGGCAGTGGGCTGCTGGTAACCCTTAACGTTGGGTTGGTTGTTGCAGAGCCAGATCTGTGTTGTGGGGAACAAACACGTCAGCGTGGGACTGGCAGAGCCATGGTGCAGGTCTCTCTGCTCCTCTGGGAGGCAGGCACTATGTATAGATCCAATCTTCCCTATACGTTCCTGCTTTGCTGGCATTTGGTGCTTGAATACAAAACTGGCAAAGCACAGTACTGATGCTTCCATGTCCGTATAAGTGTAAGTAAATTAGGTTTGCGTAAGTGAGCTGAAGCGCTGTACCCGTTAAGTAGTGCGAAGCATTTCTGTTCATTGACACTGCCTGATCTCCTTAGGTTCTGTGTTTGGTAGTGTGGAAGGATATCTTTGCAGGCTCCCAGTCTCCTACCTGGACACTGAAAACCGTTAGCTTTCTCTGTGTGTGTGTGTGTGTGTTAAAATATTAGGGGATCTTATGCATGTCTTGTCTCTGCACAAGCTTCCTTGTGCCCAGGGTATCTTCGGAGCAGTCCCAGGGATTGAGACCTTCTGGCTCATCTTGCCCGTCTCCTACGAGTATCCTGGTACTTGAGCAGTCGCAGACATGGTCTTGCTTTGAAGCTGTTGTTTACGTACCAGACTGCACACATTATGAGGGGAAGGGAAGAAGGGGAGACTGGGAAACAGGGAAACATCAGGGATCTGTAGCCCTTTTCTAGCCCATCCCGGTGTGGTGTGATGGGCAGAAGCTGTGTAGCGCCTTGCCAACACTGAAATTGCATCCAGTCTTGCATAGAGAGAAATACATAAGCAACTGCAAACTGCTAAGATTGCCAAGATTTTCACCTTCTGAAAGGAAATCTGGTAGTGATCCTGCTGCAAGGATCAGTTTGAAATGTCTTGGAGAAAGAGATGAGATTTTGGTGGTCGATCCCTTCGCCTTTAGATGTGTGCTGTGTTTCTGCTCTAAATGTGTTTGACTTCAGCTGCTCACGATTGATGGCTAGGGTTTCCTGATCTGAATTAAAAATCCTTTTACCAACAAGAAGGTCATTCAGTGCTTTGATTAGACACTTTTTGCTCTAAGATGTTCCTTCCAGTCCCCAGGCCGGAAAAGAGCCACTGAACAGTATTGGTTAATCATATATCACAATCGCATTTGGTAATTCACTGCCTGCCTGTCCTTCAGACTTGCTCGTGCCTAGCGACAGCAATATTAGCCCTGGCTGCCAGAGCTTTATCCCGGTGCTAGCGCTGAGTTACTTGCCGCTCCAGCCTGACGTCTGTTCTGAGCCCTGTGTGTCCTAGGCTGACCTGCGCTCCCCTCCCTCCCTTGGTGCTTAACTTGGCTGTGTTGCACCATGATCTCCTGGCTAGTTGATCGATCCCACAAGTATTTTTAATGGAGACGGACAGAGACTGTTTCGGAAGGGAGTCTTACCGAGCGTGCAAAGACAGGTTCGTAGTGGAAACATCCAGAAGAGCCATGCCTCTGAAGGGAGAGCTTGTGCGTTGTGCTGGAAGAGGCTGCCTGAGCGCTGAGAGGGCAGAGTGGTGTGATGCCAGTGGGGCCTCTTTCTCACATATTCTTCTGATGAGAGATCAGAGAGGAGCATTCATGAGCTGATGAAAAGCCGCTCATTTATCTTGCTTGTGGGTTTTTGGGGGGGATTTTTTAATTTTTAATTTTTTATTTTTAAACAGTGCTTCCATGGCTGTGAGCTGGCTGAGTCGGTGTTGGGTTACTGTGCGCTCTAACGCAGTGTGTGTACCGTTCTCCATTTAGCACTCCGGACTCCCCAAAGTGGAGGGCTGTCTTGCTGGGAGTGCTCTCCAGGGAAGTTCCCACCCTACCACAGTATGGTTAGCTGACTCCTGCAGTGAAACACTGTGTGCTTGTCTATCTTTACTGGCAGAGCATGTAACCTTCCCACTCACTGTTTGATTGTGGGTACTTTTTTTTTATTGGCAGTTTGTAAAATGTAATGCTTATATGTTCTCTGCTATGGCTTTTAAAATAGAAGGAAGCTCTTGCTAGAAGAACACACAGTACTACTGAAACTGAGATAGCATCTGCACCCATAAGAGCATCAGCAGAGGTATAGAGTATATGCCTGACGTAAACCATCTGTATAACACTGTGCATTCTTCCCCATCACTGCTTTTCTTTTGCCTTCCCCTCCTTGCTGCTGCCAGGATTGCCAGGTACCTTTTGTGTGCATCGATCTCTAAAGCTCTTTGGGAACTGGAGGCAGCAGCTAATGAGCTGAACTGCTTTGTTCTCTCAGCTGAGATCAGTTAGAATGTATGTACCAACCTGTTTGAAGAAATTCAGCATGGATGAATACAAACAGATGGATCAGCAGAAAAACATGACCTGGACTTAGCTGGTGGCTCCTGTGTGCATCAGCTGAGGCTGTATGTAGCAACAGAAGCCTTTGGAAGGATGACGTGGTGCAGGATGGGTTGGAGAAGTGTGAAGGTGAAGGACTGCATTGTGTACAATCACCTACTCCTTATTTACTCCTATTCTTTTAAAACCTAGAGATCTTTCTAGTAAGAACCACGTTGCACTGCTCACCCTTTTCCTACTGCGACATGAGCTTCTCAGGGTTTTTAGAGGCAAAAGTAGCAAAAGGAACACAGACTCCTGCAGAGACTCTGGTCTTTCCCTTCCTCACCTCTTCTGTGCTTTGAGCTGACCACTTCTGTACTCACTGTCACCCATCATGATCCTCCACGGAGTCAGGATGCCGTAACAAGACTCTGTTTGAAATGTCAAGTTACAAAAGAACATCTCCCACATAATTGTTCCCAAACTTCCTGGGTGAGTTGTGAGCCGCTGCAGAGGATTTTGCTCAGCAGTCCAACAGCTGACCTCACTGCCTTGAAATGCAGGGCTAGAACAGATTGTCTGTAAGCTGCATGCTGAGTTAAACGGGGCAACTCTGGAATTAGTTTGTTAAAGCTGCTGTGTCCCAGTTCAGAGCATTTCTGAACTGGCAAATGGGCTGGATATAGCTAGCTCCTGCCCCCATCTTGGCATGTGATGTCTTCTGCAGCACTGAAATCCCATGGCAAAGCCATTGCTCTTCTGAGCACCTGGCTTGACAAAAGGAGAGGAGAGAGGCAAATTCCATGTGGAAATGCCAAAAGCCCTGGGATTGACAAGCTGTTGAAGCACTGGTTTCCCAGTGGCTTGGCTTCACTGCATGGCGTCAACTGGCCAGTTACTGGAGATGGCAGGAAAGCGTTTCCTTCCCCCATTTCTGAGATGTGTCGGTTTAATACCTTGCAATCCCTTCACTGTTTTACCCATTGCAGGGTTTTGTGCAGAGAAACATGCCCTGCTCTGGGGAAGCTGCTGTGTACCACCAAATCTTGGGGGACTGGTATCTTTGTGCATCTTTGTGGAGGTTGCTCCTCCCAGCTGTGAGAGTCTCGTGCTGTACTTGCTGGCTGAGCTAGGGAGCAGGGGAGAACACCCCGTGGTGCGGAGGGCGCTTGCCTTGCTGGCACTTGAACCGTCAGCCTTTCTTGCCTCTGTGCTTTAATTGAGCTGCTCGGGGGAGTTTGCAGGCAGCTGCCAGTGTTTGCAGAAAGTCATGGCTTTGGGGGGGAGAGGAGTATGTCCCAAGTTTGGGGCTGTGAGCAGCTTCCACCTGTGCCTACAGCACTTTCTGCCACCACACCCCCCCAATTTAGAGATGCCACCAAGGACCTGGGGATGGTAATAAGTGACACTGCACTAATGTAGGGTTGTCCCTCGAGTGCTTCTCCTGCTAAGGGAGATGGTTCGTCTGTCTTCAGTAGCTTGACCTTATGCTCCCAGGTGATGAACAGTGATGTGCAGCCATTGATGTGCCACAGTACCTCTGCTGAGGTTACAAAGACGGGTGGAAGTTCCTCTTGGTTAAAGTTGAGCAGTATTTCACAGAAGAAAAGGACTCTGGGGGGCCAATTGCCTCTGGCTTATTTGAGCTATGGGTGCGTGTTCCCTCTTGATCTCTGAGGCAAGCGGGATTCTTGGTTTTTAGATGATTTTGACAGTGACAAAAGTGGCCAGTTGGACTCACTGCTCAGACCAAAGAGGATGAGCAAGGAGAGACTCATTCTCCCAGCTATCCTTTGTGATATTTGTTTCTGTTAACTTTTTCATGTAGCTACAGGGGAGCTGGCTGTTATGGGTGTGACACGGACATTTTGACACAGGGAGGGAGGGGAGGTGATCACAAAACAGCAATGACAGAGCAGCTGGCGCTCCAACTGTTGTCTTCTTCTCTAGGTTGACCGGGTGAGCTATCTGCTTCAGGAGATCTACGGCATCGAGAACAAAAACAACCAAGAGACCAAGGTAAAGGTGCTCAGGAGGCTCCAGCTGAAGACGCCCAGGGATGGCAGGTTCTCACTGTTGTAAGGCCCAAACAGTCAGTGGAGTTGTGCTGAGATAATTTTAGATAGCGTGAGACTCTTGAGAATGTTCTGTGGGGCTGGGATTGCTGGGAGAGAAGGGCTATCAGTGCCCCGTGGGTGTTTCGGAGCACTGATTTTTTAGGGCTTGTAGAGACAGCCGTGGGCCTGTCCCTGCCTCCCTGCAGTCAAGGCAGTCATGCCTGGTGTCTGTGCTTTGCTCCTGTGGTGCCTTCATGTTCTCCTGTTTGGGGGCGGGGGGCTGCATGTTCCTGCAGCGTTGCAGGGAATTGAGCTCCTTAGGGCATGCCAGTGTCCAGAGAACAGCCCGCGTTCCCCAGCAAGAAGGAGCACAGCATCACTAAGGGATGGGTATGCAAATACCGTGACCAGTAACATTGCCCACCTTTAGGCAGTAGCTTCTGCTGGTTCCCAGCTTGCTGCACAGCCCCATCCAGATTACGAGACTGCTGTATGCTTGCTTTAGCCCTATACAGAGCTGCCCTTTGCTGCCACCTGGGCGTACCAAGTGCTGGCCTCAGGATCAGACCGCTCTGGTGTGTGTAGTGTGCGATTTGCAAACAGAGGAGTAGCCACAGAGCAAGACAAGCAGGATTTCCTCTCCAAGCAAGGCAGTGTCCTGCCCAAAGCATCCTGTCATCTCTGCCTGTGCCAACAGGTAGCACCTGAAGAGGCAGGAGGGAGAAGTCTTTTCAAAGGTTTTTGTTGCACGGAATGTATTTAAGAGGATTCTCATCTTCTGTTTGGGTCCTCCAGAGTCTTGTGATGATTCTCTTGATCTAGCAATCACGCATTTGTGGCCCATCAGACAAGTGGCCTGGGGCCATTTTTGTTCTTCCTAGTATACTCGGCAAACCACATGAATGGGAAAGCAAAAAGCCTGCCCTCCCTACCTCCCAGAATAGATGAGGGGTGCATGTGACGGGGCAGGCAGGCTTGCAGCCTTTTGCTGGCCTAGTCAGCAGGCTGAGTGTGGATGCGGCAGCAGATGCTCTGTGTTGCAGTTTACACCGAGGTTGCCTGTGATCTAGCATGTGTTAGTCCCGGTGACCAAAGGGGCTTCATGAAGTGGGACCAGGTGAAGGTGGCGGGTGGCCCATGCTGGGTCATCAGTCTGGTGGACTCTGGCATAACTTGTGTGGCACTGATGGGGAGACTCTGGAGTTCTCGGGTGTCAGCGAAGAGAGCTCTTGTGGTTGGAGAGTGGGTTTCTCCTCCCAGTGACACCTTGCTTGGTGGCTCTGCTCCCATTTGTGGGGCTCTGAGTGACTGAAAGACTAGTGTGATGGACATTCATGTTGAATGGATTCACGCTGACCTTTTTACCAGGGTGAGCATCCCAGACTGGTTCTCCTGTAGCTGCATCGAAGCTTGTGCCTACACAGGAGACTGGTGAAGATGTTGGGGCAGGAAAACCACTCACTCCATCACGTATTCAGAGGATCTGTGGAAACTGGGCTAGACATGGCTGGAGTGCCTCCTTCTCTCCAGCCCGGGGGCAGCCTGACCTGCTGTCTGCCGCAGTCAGCGAGCAGCTCCTTTTGGGGCTGCTCCCTCCCTGTGGACATGGGGCAGAAAGGCTGGACTGCCAAAGAGCCCGCTTCCCTGCTGACCCTGGGAGCCACCAGGCTGGCAGGCAGGAGCTTGTTCTTGGTTCCCCTCGGCCAAGGGGATCTCTGCCCCAAAGGGGCTCTCCTCTGCACGCAGCCTGGCTCTGGGGAGGGACAGCTACACCGTGAATTCACAGTGCAGCGCCCTGGTCTCTGGCCTTTAGCGAGCTCAGAGCAGAGCCCTGAGAGGAAGGAGTGTCCATAGCAGGACTGTGTGGGCTGGAGCTTGCTTTCCTTGAGAAACCCCCGCTGAGAGCTGCGCAAAGAAGATGCCAGCTCTTTCACAAACTTTTGAGTGGGAAATTTCCCCAGGCCTGAGAGTCCCTTGGCAGTTTGACTCGGTCCTTCCCATTCACATGCCAACGTCTTGCCTCTCATCACAGCCTTCAGATGACGAGAACAGTGACAACAGCAACGAGTGTGTGGTTTGCCTGTCGGACCTCCGTGACACCCTCATTCTGCCCTGCAGACACCTCTGTCTGTGCAATTCCTGCGCTGACACCCTGCGCTACCAGGCCAACAACTGTCCCATCTGCAGGCTGCGTGAGTATGTGCCCAGGAAACAAGGGCATCTTTCTCCTTCCTAGGCTCCTGTTAAGTCAGTGTGGTGAGAGGGAGCCTGTATTTTATATACCCCACCCCAAGGCTCAGCATCAAACATGCTGCTGCTCTCACTGGCATCTGGAGATTCCTAAAATAACTGTCCTTGAACAGGGAAGGAGGAGAGCACATGGGAGAATGGCCCTTTGTCCAGTACCTCCCTGGCCACTTGTCCTCTGCCTGGGATGGATCTGAAGGTGCAGGTGCTCTGAGCTCAGCTCAGCTCCCAAAAGATGGATAAAACAAAACCCTCGTTCTGACACTCAGGGAGCACTTGCTAAATTCCATGTCTTTTCGCAAAAGCACAGAGGCATAGGGGTCTCTTGAGGAAATGCCTGTGTTTTTGCTGGAAAAGACAGATCATGTGTTTTACCCTGTGCTTGGCCTCTGAGGTATTTGATCGTTTCTAATTGATACTTCCCAGGAAAAGAAAAAAGAGCCTAAGACAGATGTTTGGCCTGAGAAATTAAGTCTAAACAGTTCAAACTTGGCAAAGATGCCGTAACCAAAAGCAAGATCTTATCAGAGGAAGTGCCAGACAGCTTTGACTATAAGTAGCACAACTTAAAACACAGGAACAGCATTATCTCATTTGTGTGCTGCAGCGGGGTAGGTTGTATTTGTTTGGAAACTGCCCCAATGTCAGACTTCTTGGGAATCTCTTTCTGGGGAGTGCAGAGGCAGTGAGGATAGATTTGCACCTCTGTCCTCTGGCTCTAGGCTGATCTTGCAAGCAGCTGGGTGCAACAAGAAATGCCTGGGCTTTTTCTTATGTATGAACAAGTTCTTACAGCTGCCTCGGAACAGATGTCTGGCTCATTCATATGTGCCCTTGGCTCAGAGGAACGGCAATATTAAAGATCTGCAGATAGAAAATGGGACTGTGGGCAGGGAGTGGAGATCAAAGCTGTTGTGGTGGGAGGACCAAGGGATCGCTGTGCTGGAGACAGGAGTTCAGCCACTAACCCTCTGGCTGGGTTCGCAGCCGTTGCAGAGCCTCTTACGCCTGTAGTGCTGGCTGGTGAGCGAGCAGCCGATGGCAGGAGCGATGCTTCCAGCGCCAGCTGGACCCCAGGGATGAGACTTGTGGGGTCTGAATGAACCCCAAGTGGTTTTACATGAGATTCCCCCCCATCCTGTAGCTTGCAGTGCGCTGTCCGAGGCTGAGCTCGTGTTTTTCTTACCGTGTTGTATAGTATCAGGCCTGAAGCACCTCTGTACCTGACTGTACTGAGGCAGGCAGTGCCTGTTCTCTGCAAGGGCTACATCTACCCAGAGTTTTCTGGCCAGCAGATCTCTCCCCAGTATAGACAGATCAACTAGAAGCCAGACCATAACGCTTGGCTTTGGTGTGCTCCATGGTCCTGCTCCCCGTGCAGACAGGGAGCTCTCCCATGCCGATGGCGTGTCTGCAGCGAGCTGAGGCGCTCTGGCATGTGTCTGGCACAGCCTGATCACCTGCTGCTGTTCTCTCCTAGCCTTCCGCGCCCTGCTGCAGATCCGAGCTGTGAGGAAGAAGCCGGGGGCTCTGTCGCCGGTGTCGTTCAGCCCTGTCTTGGCACAGAGCGTTGACCATGACGAGCACTCTGTAAGTACCTTGCAGCCCCATGTACAAAGCCTGGGTGCTGGTCTCAGCGTGGGCAGGCAGGTTGTGCATGCATGAATTGCTCGGCCTGATGGCCAGCATCCCTGGGACCTCAGGAGATGCCCTCAGGCCTTGGAGCAAGGTCTTCCTGGGCAGCGCAGCCTCTCTTCTCAGCGATGCTAGACAGCCAAGACCTTTCCTCCTCTGGTTTAGTAATACGACTGTTTTTAGCCAAGTCCCCTCCTGTCTTTGGGAGGAAACAGATCCACAGAAACCTCAGTCTGAGAAGGTTTCTCAGGGCTTGTCCCAGAAGAAAAGTGGCAAACTCTGTGCTGTGAAAATGGGGGGCGAGGGTGTTACAGTTTGACTTGCACACACATCTACGTGGCAGCACGCTCTGATGAAATGCCCTTGGCATTGGGGTTCCCAGCATGGTAGCAGAAAGGCCTCTTTGTGCCTCCCTGAGCGATCGGGGTCTCTGCAGGCAGCTGAGTGAGCATGGGATGGAAAGCGTGGTGCTGTTGGCCTCCGGGCCGGGCTGTGCATCCCTGGTGCGGTGAGGGCAGCAGGCCATTGTGTGAGCAGTGCTGTTGCACAGCTGGCCCTGGTGAGACATGAGATCAGATTGAGGAGAGGGAGATCTGCGTCTAGGTCATCCTGCAGGCTTTCATCAGAGCAGAAAGAGATTGTCACAGAAAAAGCCTGGGTTTATCCGTCTGTCCTCGGCAGCATTGTAGCCTTGCTGCCTTCAACTGGGGCCAAGAAATAGGACAGGGGAGAAACCCCGAGGGTGGTTGTGAAGCAGAGCGTGGTGTGTAGAGGAAGCAGGTGCTGTCACCTGGAGCGAGGTGAGGAGATGCTGTGTGTCTCTTCGTGTCACTAACCCCAAGAAACAACTTCTTTAAAACATGATTTTCTCTTGACAGTGTCCCTTTAAACCCCTTAAAGCGAGCACTGTCTCCCTGCCCAGCAGGAAACCTAGAAGGGAAA